TTTAGCCACTATGCTACCAGAGCTCCTTGTCATCTATTACTGCCCCTAAATTTGCCCCTATATTTTCCTTGAGGAACTTTTATAGTTTTAGGTTTCAAATTTAAGTCTTTGATCCATCTGGAGTTAATTTTTGTGTATGGTATGAAATACAGATCTTGTTTCATTTTTCTGCAAATGGATATCCAGTTTTGCCAGCACCATTTGTTAAACAGACAATCTCTTCCCCAGTGAATGGATTTCAGCCCTTTGTCAAAGATCAGCTAACCATAGGTCTATGGGTCTGTAACTGGGTTCTCAATTCTATTCCATTGGTCTGGATGTCTGCCATTGTATTGATACTAGGCAATTTTGACTACTGTAGCTTTATAGTAGATTTTGAAATCTGGGAGTGTGAGACCTCCTACTTTGTTATTCTTTTTCAGTAGTGCTTTGCTTGTCCGAAGTCTCTTTCCTTTCCATATAAAGTTGTTGTTGTTTTGTGCCGTCGAGTTGGACCCAACTCATAGTGACCCCTCCTTGCGTTTCCAAGGCAGTATCACTACAGAAGTCAATTGCCCAATCTTCCTTCCCAGGAGTGGCTGGTGGGTTTGAACCGCCAGCCTTCTGGGTAGCAGTCAGGTGCCTTAGATTGGTTTTTCTATGTCCTTAAAGAATGTTGATGGGATCTGGCTGGGGATTGCATTGAGTGTATAGATTGCTTTGGGTAGAATTTACATTTTCACAGTGTTCAATCTTCCTGTCCACGAGCACAGTATGTTCTTCATTTATGTAGATCTCTTATGGTTTCTTGAAGTAGTCTTTTGTAGTTTTCTTTGTATAGGTCTTTTATGCCCCTGGTAAGATTTATTCCCAAGTATTTTATTTTTTTGGTAGCTATTGTAAATGGTATTGATTTCCTTATATCTTTTTCAGCAATCTCTTTGCTGATGTGGAGTAATCCAACTGAATTTTGGATGTTATCTTGCTACTCTGCTAAATCTCTCAGTTAGTTCCAATAGTTTTTTTCACTGAGTCTCTTGGATTTTCTAGGTATGAGATAATATCATCAGCAAATAGTGATAGTTTGACTTCTTCCTTACCAACTTGGATGCCTTTGATTTCCCTTTCTTGTCTTATTGCCCTGGCTAGGACTTCCAGTACAATGTGAATAGACGTGGTGATAGAGGGCAGCCTTATCTGGTTCCTGTTCTCAAGGGGAATGGTTTCAGTCTCTCTCCATTGA